GGTCTAACTGCGTCACTATCCATACCCAAGTGGGACACTCTCCTTTTTCTTCACATGCAAAGTGCTATCCCCTTGCCCCAACAGGCCGAACTGAAGGCCTTAAAGTGACCAGTCCTTCTAACCTGCTATGCTGGGCCCTTCACTTTATCTTACCAGGGGCTAATTTCTCTTTTAGTTCTTTTGTTTCATTAGTACGTTTGCTCTACATAATGCTTTCTCTCTCTCTCTCTCATTTTTTTTTTTTTTTTGAGACAAGGTCTCACTATGCAGTTCAGGCTGGCCTTGAACTCATTTTGTAGCCCAGGCTGGCCTTGAACTCACAATGATCCTCCTGCCTCAGGCTCCAGTGCTGGGATCGCATGTGTGCACCACCACACTCGGCTTCCCTCCATCTCTTAATCCCCTTTCCATTTTCAAAAGCCCTGGCTCCCTACTTAATTTTTTTTCCTTTGGTACCAGGGATCAAACACACAGCCTTGTGCTTGCCAGGAAGGCGCTTACACCACTGAGTTAAATTCCCAGCCACTCTAGCTTCCTACTTCCTATGACCTATTTTTATTTTGCTCTTCATTTATAATTTTGATGTTGCTGAGACCATGTGATATTTACACTGTGTGTCTGATTTATTTCACTTAACATTATGATCTCAAGGGCAACCGGCTCGGGACCCTTCTGTCTCTCTCGGACAGAAGATTTCTTTCTCTCAATAAATATATTCTGCTCTTAACCTTCGTTGTTTCTAAAATTCATCTTTGATTTTAGCGAACACAAACTCATACCAGACATGGTAGGTTGGGAGTTTCTTTCCCTTATATCGTTTGGAGGACTCCCACCACGGTCACTGGACAGAGGTCAGTTTACTTTTGTTTCACAGCCTCTGGACTGGGACTCATTTAGGTGACAAACTTTTATGCTTCAAACATGATCTCAAGGTGCATCTCCATTCCTACCAGCGACTCCCTCATCCTTCTTCATGTCAGAATAGAACTCCCCTTGTGTGTAGCTTCCCCAATTTCTCTTTCCATTCTGCAGGGGAACGTGGATGGCCCTTTTTATTTTATCCAGGGTTGCATCCAAAAGCCTTGGGATACAACAAAAATCATGTGGTTACTGAGGAAAATAATTGTTACTCAGGAAATTTCCCAAGTTTAACTGTGCGGTCACCCATGTGTCATCCATTCCCTGTGGTTTGTGAAGACAGCCCCGCTGTGACCACCTGTGTATTGATCACTCCATCCCGTCACTTGTCATTTGGTAGCAGGGGGGCAACAGATGCCTGGATGTCACAAACATGTCCTCTGTGGTAGACTCTGTCAATTATGTATTCCAAAGCTGGTCTTCTATTTCCTTAACTGTATCCTGAATTTTTTCAACTACATGAAAGAACCAGAAGCTCACATGTCCTTGTGGCTGAAGAACATAGTGTGAGCAATGAGGAGCAACTGGGATTCTGCTGGGCGGGATTCCTAGGAAAGGGATGGCAGGAGACCCCTGGCATCCAGTCCTAGGACTCCAGAATGTGGACACAGGCCAGGCTGAGAGAGAGAGAGAGAGGGAGAGAGACAGAGAGAGAGAGAGAGAGAGAGAGAGAGAGAGAGAGAGGAAGAGAGAGAGATAAATATTCTTTTTGGTAACACAGACAGACAGACAGACAAAGGCTGCACGTGGAAGACAAGACAAGAAAGAAGCTGGGTTCCTGTCAAGGAGAGGGATCGATCATCTCTCTCCCACTTCTTCAGAGAGTAAAACAAGCCCACAGCTCTGTAACTCACCATCCCTCGGGTTTGCTGTGGTCTGGAGTTACATGTTCACACAGGTGATATAATCATGCTTTTTAGGGGTACACTGTAGGACTAGCTGTAGATGATCAAGTGTAAGTCAGTTTCAAATTTCACCTTCAGCTACTGACTTATGAATTATATAATTGGAGATAGATGAGATCTGCTATTTTTCCTAATTAAGTGTGTTACCAAAAAGAATATTTAATTCACATCTTCTGAATTGTAGAAAAATGTATTTGGGTACTAGAAAGCCGTTCATGATGGATTGGGCTGTAGACTGTTATGTATTATGTACCCTAAAATTGATTTAGCATTTTTGATTTAGTGAATAATGGTTCTGCTAAAATAAGGATTATTTATATTCCATTTCTTTACTGCAAGGGAATTTAAAATTTACCAGCTATTTAATGAAATCACATTTGTTTGGGTCTACAGAAACTGTTATTCTTTCCCTTTCTTGGATATTTTCTGTTCCCAGTAATGAGTATATATTACCTTTGCAATCAGGAGCAATAAAGCAGATTTATTTCTGAAGGGGAAAATCCTATTGAAAAGTCAGTACAAAGAAATTGGATCAAGGTAACAGAATGCACACACCACTTTCTCTTTTCCCTGCAAATAACTCTGTCAGAAGAGAGATCTTTTCAAAGGAGAACATCTAGAGTCCACTCAACATTTCCATTAGCACAATGGAAACTGGTGGATGCTCCTGGAAGATAAAAAAAGAAAAGCCCTAGCAAGAATGGTTTGATAAGGGAAGAAGGAAAGCTCAGCCCACAGGAGAAAAGCAGGAGAGTGAACGCTGCCAGGAAAAGGCTGAGACTCCGAAGGAGGTGAGCGGTGGGGCACCCCAGCTCAGAATGCAGCGGCTGAAGAAGCTGAAAAGCGCTTCTCTCAGCACAGAGGCCAGGCGGCCACTCTCCCCCGGGCCAGGAGGGCAGGGACAGAGTGACCGCCGTGGGTCTGGCAGCTGTCCTGGGTGCAGGTGTGGTGGCTGCGGACAGAGGGAAGGTTTCGTGGTTCCCTAAAAGGATGAAGACAGGAGAACACAAGGCGAAGGTGGTGTACCAGCGGAGGAACCGAGTGCAGTCGCCGGGGACACCTGTGAGCTTGGCACTGATGCTTCCTTTACTTTAGTGTCTGTTATGGTTCGATAACTAGTGGTCAACTTAACGCCAGCTGGATTACATCAGCATGCATTGAGAGATGCTCCACCTGAGGAGGGTTGCCAGGATAAATAGGTGGAGAAGAAGAGAGGTGCTGAGAGGGATTGAGGGGTTATGGAGGCACTGTTGGTTCTCCTACGAGTTGCTGTCTGAGCTGTTGGTTCTCCTGGAGAAGCTTTGGTCTTCACATCGAGCATTGCTTCCTGGCTCCGGAGGGGAAGACATGTGCTGCCTGGTCTCCAGGATGAACTTGTCACACTGCTTCCTGGCACGTTCCCGACTGTGCTTGTCGTCGGAGGAGCTCGGGGCCTCCGTGTCGCTGAGGACAGCTGTGGTTCCTTTCAGGACAGCCCCGCTCTTTGCTGTGAGTGTGACTTCTCAGCTCCAGTGTAGAACCCTCATCCCACTAGCACAGCTCCTTCATCCTGCTGGCATAGATTTTCTGGCTTCCACCGCTGACCCTTGGGTCTTCCCGGCACGAATCCGTAAAAGAGACTGGCGTGAGTCCTTGTGGGCTCTGGACCTCCAGTTGGACTCGTGGAGGCGTTGTCCTGAGCTCTGGGTTTTTATCTGGACTCTTGTGGGACATTGCCGTGGGGTTTAGGCTCTTGACTTAATCTATGTCGTTGGTGTTGCGGATAGATTCCTGCATTCTCCTGTGTTAACTTTCGGTAACCATTATAAAAATATTATAAACTCCATGTCCTGACCTGAATTGTTCTCTGTGTACAACCCCTGACTACAACAGTCTCTGAAAATGAAGCATGGCAACATGTAGACCTCACTACTCACACGGCCCAGGATCCTGTTCACAGGGGGTTCTTCCAGGAAACCAGGTGTACACAGCTGTACAGGAAGCAGAGTGGTTACCTGTGCTAAGCCAGCAAAAACCCAGCCCTCCAATAAGAAATATCCACCAAAACTCATCAAAATCAGCTCAGCAGAAGCAACAGGAGGAGGAGACTGATGCCAACAGATCGCTTCCAACACTGTGGGAAGCTCTAACGGGCAGCGCGAATCTAGGACATCATGGTCACCACTGTGAGCACTAGCCAGGGGCACGCGAGCTTATGTGTCAGGGTCCTTTGCAGCTAACGTGACTAAGAAAGCGGGTGAGAACCTCAAGCAGCTCATCCTGGACACAGTCCGGAACCACAGTCCGGAACCCAACATCCTGGGCTACAGTTCATGTCACTATCGATGTCACAATGAAACACATGAGAAACCCAGATCAGGACAATGAACTAACTTGCTCTGGGAAAACCATCCCTCCCCACAACAGAACATGAGATTGCCCCTTTTCCGCGTGCTCAGAACCTCCCAAACACTAAGGATCTGAAAAGGAGCTTGCACACAGAATACATTCAGTAAATCTTTGTAGCGTCGTTAATTAATTAATTTTTGCTTTGCTTTGCTTTTTGAGACAGCGTCTCCCTGTGCAGTTCAGATTACCCTCGAACTCATAGCAGTCCTCCTGCCTCAGCCTCCTGAGTGTTGGAATTCAGGCGTGGGCCACCATATGAGGTCATCAATGCAATTTATTATAGTGCAGCACTGCAATGGACAAAGGCACAGACAAGGTACAAGGCAAAGCCCGCAGTCAGACTCGAGGAATAAGAGGAAACAACGAATAGTCTCTGAGACAGTGCCTAGGAACTAAGGGTGTGCTGGGACCTCAGCCACCTCTCACAGCACAGGACGCTTCTCCTGGCATTCTGCAAGTCATTCTCTTACCCACTCAATCAGTTCTGCCAGCTTTCATTCTGTACCATGCAGATTTTCTGAACACAAAGGCTCCTACCCTCCCACGCCCCCAGCACCGTGCATCGGCTCCCTTGGACTTGCTCACGACACAGGGACCACTTTCCTGGGACTCTCCACCCTGAACAGAATCCTAATTCAGTGCCCAGGTCTGAGGAAGGCTCTGTGCTCTGTGCCCCTTGCCAGTCTGGCGGGAAGGCAAGCACTTGGCACAGAGGGGAGGCACGAAGAAGCTGCCTTTCCTGGTGCTGCGTTGCCCTGCCCACCCACCCCAGAGCTCGGCCACACTCACCGGAGCCTCGCTGACCCCGAAGATGTCCCTGACATCCCTGACCGGCTGCTTGCTCTTCCTGCGCAGCGTCTGCGTGTAGGTGTTGTACCTCTTCTTCACCGCAGCTGCCTGCGTGCGCGTCAGTGTGGACAGCAGCGCTTTGCCGTCTTCCTCCTCCTCCCCGGAGAGCAGCGTGGACAGCCCCACATCCTGCAGCCACTCCGCTTCCAGCTCGCCCTCTGCAACAGAGGACAGAGGGACTAGGACGCATGCCCGATGGAGCACGGGGGACACAGCATGGGGCACAAGATGGCCTCTCTGCCTGGAAGGGTCTGAGAAAGGGCAGGAAGGATAAATGAACACGACACCTTCCTCAGGCTGGCCTTGAACTCACCATGCAGCCCAGGCTGGCCTCCAACTCACAATGATTATCCTGCCTCAGCCTCCCCAGTGCTGGATGACCGGTGTTGGCCACCACACCCGGCCAGTATTGTAAAACGTTGTCCAGTGGTGCAAGTTTGATTGGAAGACTTGAAAAAGTCACTCTCCTTGTCAGAGGTTAGATATAAATTGTGTCATCTAGCCTACCAGTTTCCAAAAAAAGATACAAGTATAAAGCTTTCACTAATGCTGAATAGGAAATACATGGTTTAATGGAACACAAAGGGGTTTCTTCAGCGAATTTATTTATTCATCTTTGATCATGGGAATTGAACTCATGACCTTGCACTTGCCAGGCAGGCGCTTGTACCACTGAGCTGTATCCCTGGCCCCACAGAGGGGTTCACTGAAGTGCAGGTTCAGATCCCAGTTGCTGTCGTTTCCCACCTGAATGATTGTCATGTTAAGAAAGCTGCAGGCCTCAGCATCCCCCCGGAAAAGTGGGCATAGTGAGTATCTGTATTTCTGCTGCCTGCCATCCACTAACCAGGTTGAACCTTCCCAGGCCAGGAGCAGACTCAGTTGCCATGGACACAGTCTCCAGGGGCCCACCTCCTCCCCATCTTCGGTGCATCCACCAGGGTCTCTGCCTGCATCCCTGCCTCCTGTGCCCCCGCCCATGGGCAGCTGGGTACGGCCCACTGCCTGGTGCTTCTGACCGCACCCCACAGGGACCACTCGAGACACTACAGCAGGCACTGCCTCATTGAAGGGAGTGTGTGCCTCCCTTCTCTAACCACCTCCAGCCAGAACTCCAGGGGCGACACCCGGGGCCCCAGCAAAGGCTCCAGCCTACTAGGTAAGTGTGTGGGTCCTGGATGGTGTCCCTCTTCCCTGAGCCCCTGAGAGGTACGCTGTCGTTCCTCTCTGGGCCTGTTCCCTCACTTCCTGCGTGTGTCCATGCTCATGACTCCCCCACCAACACATGCAAACTAACAAACTGGACACAGCTCAGACAAGCACCACAAAGGCACTGCTGGGATAAACAAGTCTTCCGTCAGAAGGTCACCCGGTCACTGTGGGAACAGGCCTCAGGCCACCCACCAGGGTAAGAGGTCTCCTATAAGTGGTACAAGTAAACACACATGGCACAGCCACCGCACCGAGCCAGACCATGACGTCAAAGGAGAGGCCCACACCATGGGGACAACAGGACCGCATGACAGGGACCATGAGGTTTTCTTGTAAAGCAAAGTTAAAGAATGTGGGAGAAAATTAGGCATTCAACAGATGTCTTTATCCTGGACATGGCCAACCTTCCTATTTCTCAAAAGGCAACGAAAACACCCAGGAGTCACCCACGAGAGTCAGTTGCTATTGTAAGCCACTGTACAGAAATAGAAGGACTTCAGGACAACAGCGTTGAAGAACAGCAAAGCCACTAAGTGTGCATCCGAGAGCGCGTGAAGCGCGCTCCTCCTGAGCGCAGGCTGTTTGCAGACGGGATCAGTGCACTTTGTAAGCACACGTGGGAGCTTGGGTGCAGAAGGCCGGGCTCCATCTGTGGTATCCCCTCAGCAGTCTCCCAGCAAAGCCTTGCATTGTGTCCAGGTCCTCAGCTAGGCATGTTTTATTTTCTAGCTTGTTTTTATTATTTGTTTGCTTTGTAAGGTCTCCCTTGAACAGAAAATGAAAGGGAATTTATGCTATGACTTGGATGTGTTCCTTTACTAAAGCCTTAGGTAAGGTTTTCATTTCTGGAGACAAAACCTGTCAACACAGGCTAATATTAAAGGGGATATTTTCTCTCTGCACCTCGATGAGGAGTGAGGGTAGGGTGGGGAGTGGAGGGGTCGGAGGACTCGCACACACAGGGTGACTCAGCCTGCAGCTCGAGAGAGGACGCTTTCTCAGCTGAGCCGGCCTATGTGGACACCGGCCGGCCTCCTGTGTGAGGATTTCTGTGCGGTGCCATCTTACCGTGACTCCGGGGACAGATAGGTCATGGCTGTGCAGCTCTCCTTGGAATTTCAGCTCCGTGTACCACCCTGCCCACCCAGAGCCCCCCCGCTTTATCGCTCGTGTCACATTCAACACGCCCAACCTTGAGCTCCTGCTCTTCGTTCCTGACTCTGGGCCTCTTCCCCTGCTCCGCATTTCAACAGAGGGCACCCAGTCCACCGCTACCCAAGGAATAGGCAAGTGAGTCCCTCCACAGACAGGACCACCACTCCCCGTCCCAAGGGTCAAATCCAGCACAGCATCAAGACCTTCTGACACTGCATCCTTACGTGGGCGGCTCAGAACCCTCTACTTCCTCCTATCTCCTCTTCCCGGACTCTACTCGAAGCTAAGGTCATCTGTCACCTGGCCTGTGACAGTTGGCTCCCAACAGTTCTCCCTCAGCTGTTCCTAGTCCCCTCCCAACTTGTTTTCCACAATGAAGCTAGATCACACCTTTCAAGCACAGAGAGAAATAGGTTATGACCTTCCCCTGCTTTCACGAGGTCTGTAAGGTATAAGGCTGCCCACCTTCCCAGACACACCCCGCCAGGCTTCCCCACCCTCAGTCCCGGCGACGCTGGCTTTCTTTGGGTCTCCCAAAGCTCTGTGCTCCGTTTTGCTAGAAGGCCTGGCTATGCCAGGTTTCTCACTCGACCTTGTGTCACTGCCTGCTCAGTCTCCGACCTCGGTCCAGACAGCTCTGCCTCTGAATCCACCAGCCTCGGTCAGGACCAACACTATGTGTCTCAAGACCACCTTTGCTTCTGCAGGAAATATCCCCCAAATGAACCTACTTGGATCATTCTGTTCTCTACAGTCTCTTGCACTGGATTACGATCTCCACAAGAAAAGCACATGTTTCCTCTTTTGCTTATAGCTCCGTGCAGAGTGCCTGGCACAGAGTAGGTACACAGACTTGCTCAATTAATGAACTAGATAAGTAATCAAGTTCCGACTGAAAAATGCAATACATTTGTGCTGCCGAAGTCAGCATGCAAAAAATATAATGAAGGAAATTATTCCAGTAAGCTGTTCCATGCTGACTACAAAGCACCAATGTTTTAAAATAAGTCTAGCTATCATTCCATACCTAGCGGCTGTCAGCTTCGTAAGTTTGTGAGCAACTGTACTAAAAAGCCAATAAGCTCACTGTGGAAGGTGGGTTAGCTTATATTAAAATCACTGTACTGTGCATGACTGTGGTGAACCTGGACAAAAATACACACATGACTAATTAAAAACAATGGAGAAGGGTCAAGAGCAGGGAGGAAGAGAAAAAAATAACTTCTTATGAAAGAATATGTACTGGGTGAGATTTGCATTCATACTGTACATGCAAGTGTGATGTAAGTTAACTGAATACATTATTACACTAATTCCATAGACATGTCATTTTGTCAGTCGTACTTCAAAAAAGAAAAAGAACTTCAAAACATGAGCCCACACTCACTCGTATGCACACTCACACGCATATACACAATTGGGTCTAGAGCTAGAGGCGTGGCCAACAGTAGACTTCTTGCCTAGCATACATGGGACTCCAGGATGGACCCCAGACACTGTGTCAAAATTCAAAACAAAAAACTCTGGCGCAACATCCCATAGGAGGAGACAGAGCCCATCACCCAGTATAGTAAGTGTCTTTTAAGAAAGGAGAAAGGACGCAGAAGTAAACACAGTCCTATGCTCCAGGACCCAGAGATGGAGAAGGTACCGTGAGCTGTCTACAAAGCGAGCTCAGCCAGGTCCCAGAAGCCCAGAGAAAGCCATGGACCGGATTCTCCCCTACAACATGCAGGGCAACACGGTGCAGTTCACCCGGGATTTCCAGACCCGAGAGCATAACCTGCTGGTGCTACAGGTACTTCCTTGAGGCAGCCCAGGAACTACACATCATCAGTGATGAACAGGAACGAACTCTTGATACACTGGTCAAACCGGAAACACTGCTCAGTGAGATCAGCAAACCCCACACTAACCTCGGTTGCAGAAATATTCACACCGTGGATATTTGTCCTTGACCAGAAGGGTTAGTCTGACTGGGAAGGATGACACTAGAATACAGGATGAGGGGGCTTTCTGGATTGAAAGATTATCTGTTTCAAACAGAAATATTATTTACATCTCGATCAATGTAAAGTTAGATGAGGGATCATTTGCCCAGTTCTTTGACCTGCATATTAAAATTCTGTACAAATAGTTCAAGCACAGATACCCGCAAATAACATTAAAATCTATTAAATCTATACTCCATAGTTTAGTGTAGTTTAGCTTGGGAAAACACAAGTGTTTCCCCTGTATTGTAGACCTGAACAAATGAAGAGTCACACGGTGTGTGTGTGTGTGTGTGTGTGTGTGTGTGTGTGGCTTAATCTTTCAGTGGAAAAGAAGAAATGACAGCAAAACTGTCACGCTACTGGATCAGAATTGAGAGTTGTCAGTCTGAACACGTGGCTTTAATGCAAATCCTAGCGAGGAAGGAAAAGGAAGCCAGGACGCCTCTCCCCCTTTACGAGTCTTTCTGTCTCCTCAGAGGTGGTTCCCAGTAGTTTCCATCACTGACAGATGTGCCTGCCCTAAAGGTCTTGCAGCTGCTGGGATTCCACCAGACACCCATTGCCACTCTGGGGGACAGTGGCCATGGGAAGTTTCGGTCATGCGTCCCTGTGCACGGATAAAGCAGCCCCTCTCCAGCCACCTCAGATACCCCTGCTCTGGCCAGAAGGAGCTCCTGCCTGCCGTGACCATGCAGAGAGCCTGAAGGTGAGAACCAGTGCAAGACTGTGTGTTCACCAGCCCCTGACTGAGAAGAGTGTGCAGACAGCCAGCAGGACACTGGGGCACGTGGGAGTCCACCTTTTGATCTTCTGTCCACAGAGATGGCCTCCTCTCACCCTTCCTAGCTCAGTCCCTGCACTGCTCACCAGCGTCGGTCCCAGGGAAACTCCTCTGAGTGATTTTGTCGCTTGCTCCAGCAGCACAGGCTGAGCTGCTTAGATGGAGAGCCGGTAACGCTTAAGGCTGCTGGCACCGAGGCAGCCAGCAGCCAGGGCCTGTGACACCAAGGTGGGTGGGCGGCCCAAAACAGACCGATGAGGGGCAGCTGACAGGAGATGAGGAGGGGCTCACGCGGAGAGGCAGAGACACTGCACCTGTGCTCAGAGCGCCTACACCAGGGTGCTGCACTTCGTCCTCGCATGATTTCTAACTGAACTGAGCAAGAGATCCTGGGCTGCGTGGCGAGGACAGGCACAAGACCACACTGCACTGGTCAGGGACAGTGCCCCTGCGTGGGGCCTCTTGCTCCAAGTGTTTCAGAGAGGATCATCTTCCATCCAAAGGGTCCTTTCTTATAGAACTTATAGCAAGTGGAATAAAGAACACGAGGGATTTTTAAAATTCCAGTTTACCCTGGAAATTGTCTCAGGGTGAATCACTTTCCAGTGAAAGCATTCTCAGGGGCAGGCTCACTGTTCTAGCATCCAGCTTTTTGTGGTGTCCTATCTACTCACTGGGGACCATGGGGGCCTGCCACAGGTGACCTAGGCTTTTAATCCCAGGTGGAAAACTTGTTCTCTTTGAGAACCAAGGGCAATAATCATCATTTCTTTGGTTTGTTTCCTTGTTTTTGTCCCCACCCATCTTCTGTTTAGTTTCACTGAAAAATAAAATTTTAATATAAATTTTATTTTGGAGAATACTAATATAAGTGACTGCCTCAGAGTCATTTTTTTCCTCCAAAATTTTACTGACAAATTCTGTCTCGATCATTTGCCATCTGCTAGTTAATAAGCAACTGTGCAGATGTAAAAACCACCAAAATTAGAATGCTTAGTCTGATGACAGTAACAAAGCCAACAGACAGGCACAGCACCCCAAAACAATGCCTCAAACACTTTGGATAAAGCCACCTGGAGATCCTTGGCCAAATGCTTCCAATTCAGGCAGATGCTCATGAGATGAGGTCTGCTTGCACAGAATGGAAAGAGCTCTAGGAGAAGAAATGCGGCCCTCACCGTCCACTGGCTTGACCTCCGTGGCCGGTGGCTCCTCCTGAGCCCTGAGGCTGCTCTCGCTGATACTCTCTATTTCCCTCCAGAAGTCCTCCATGGACGCGCTGTCCACTGAGGCTTGGGAGCTGGAGCGGCTGAAGGGCGGAGCATGTAGGGATTCACTGGAGAGCATCCTGTTGATTCTTTGGCAGCGAGGAATAGATTTTCTGAGGGAAAATAATATCGATCAGTAAACATTGGTGTTTTTACATTATGCAGTCACAAAATTAAAGTTAAGATTAAAGTCAGTGGAGAAAAGTTAGCAGTGGAGAGACAGCTTTGACGGCATGCTCTCCATTCCGTGGCAGACCTTCTTTCTTACTCTCAATCTTCACGGTGACGCTGTGGTCACATACAAATTGACATGAGAATGTTTCCATGATTTCCACACACTCCTACGTCATCTCTACCAGCCATGACATGGAGAGAAGAAATTTGTTTCTGCAAAGCACCCAAGATGACAGCAGAGGGAGATGTTAAAATGTGATCCATTACACCTAATAGAGTTGTTACCATTAAGAAAAAAAAGCTCCATGTGGTGGCTCATGCCTGCGAGGCTGAGGCAGGAGGAACACAAGTTCAAGACCAGCCTGGGGAAATGAATAAGACCCTATTTCTGAAAAGGGGTTTAGGTTGGGGATGTGGGTCAGTGTGGACTAGAAGTGTGGATTCCCAGTCCAATACATAGATATTATAGAAATGTAGATAGATATTAAAACAGAAAATAACAAGTTTTAGTGAAGGTGTGGAGAAATTAAGAACCACTGTGTGCTCTTTGTTGAAATGTAAAATGGCATAGTGTCTATGGAAAACAATCTAATCAAAAATATCTTTTAAAATAGAATTGTCCCATGATCCAGCAATTCTTCTACGTGTTTATCCAAAATAACTGTGGCACTGCTCACAGCAGTTGAAAGGAAGGACAACTCAAGTGCTGGGTAAGCAAAATACAGCACCTGTAACCATGGAATATTTTTCCCCTTTAAAGTGGAGGAAGATTTTTACGTGGGCTTCAATATGGATGAAACTCAAGCACGTACTAAGTAAAATCAGCCAGTCATAAAAGCACAGGTATTGTGTGGCTGCATTATGTGAAGTCCTGAGCATACTTAAATTTAAAGAAGGGAAGAGCAATGGTGATTGTCATGGTCCAGGTCAGGAAAAATGGGGATCAGAGTCTGGTGGGTCCAGAGCTCCAGTTTTACGAGATAAAAAGCCTTGAAGCAGGAGGATCATGATGGTCACATAGCACCACACATACACAGGATGTCATGGACAGACCTGTATTCCTAAAAATGGTTTAGATGGCCAGTTTTGTGCTATGTCTATTTCTTAAAATTTGTATGAGTTGAAGAAATGCAAGACAGACACATTTTTACAAAATTAGGTGCTGAGATTATGAGGTTAGGAAAGGAAATAACCTAGAGCTTCAAGGTGAAAATACATGAGGATGTGGAGGAAGCAGTGACCAGGAGCCAAAGTCCCTTGGCTGATTTGGGGACAAGAGCATCTGCTCTACAGGGTCGACCACCAAGAAGGGCAGGGAGGGTCCCGTGACCACTCCCTATCTGCCCACGCCTCCCCCAGTCCAGGAGACACAGCGGAGGCAAGCAGGGGTCTGCCAGTCTCCCACGAGGACTAATCCACTAGCAGGACCGCATACCAAGCACCTGGAATGTAAAACGATAGTTTTACACTGGATACAACAGTGTTTGTTTTTAAAAGCAGAAGGCACTGTGAGGGTAGATGGATGCCAAAATGTTGAAATTTTAAGTGATTATGCTGAGTTATGTTAAAAGTCAAACAAAATATTTGACTTTCATGACACATGGTTGACTAAAATATTTCACGGGAGTAGAGTGCTTACATAACTGCAACACTCTGGTCTCTAACCATGAAAACTTTCTGAATAAAATGCTGTGTTTTTGTGCAGTAATTTGTACCTGAAAGGTCCCCAAAGGCTCATGTGTTAAGCTTCTTCAGTCCCAGGTGATGGTATTGAGGGGTGGAAGCAAGCCCTTCCAGGAGGCCTTGTAGGGACCCTGGCTGCTCCCTCCTCTCTTTGCTTCCTGATTTCCATGTGGTGAACTTCACACCGTACATACCCACACTGTGATGTACAGCACCACTGCAGCTCAGAGCATCAGGGCCAAGGGACCAAGAGCTACAACCTCTGAAACCGTATGCCAAAATAAACTTTCCCTTCTCATAAGTTGATTAGCTTGGGTATTTTGTCACAGTCACAGAAAGCTGACTAACACGTTGTCATTACGTGATTTTTAAAAAATTTATAGTTTCAAAATTTGATGTGAGTCATGCATCAGTCCACACATTCAAGTTGGAAAGGTTTACTTTGGCTCGTGGTTCCAGAGCTTCAGTCTGTGGCTGGCAGACTCGCGGTGGGGTGTGTAGCAGAGGAAAGGTGCTCACCTCTTGACAACCAGGAAGGACAGATGTGGAAAGAAGCCAGAGAGGAAGCGACCCCAGACAGGGCACAGCCCGACCTCAGCCCACTCCCCTGAACTGCTGCCTGTGCCTGTTTCAGTCACCCCAGTGACACCATCACACTGTGCCTCCCCACCCCACCTCCCCGAAGGCCAAGAGCAGCTGAGCCTTCCACACAGTGAGGCATTCTGGGGAACAGACAGGCACCAGCCACAACAGTCTGCAGCTCGCTTCGAAGAACCCCTCTGAGCTTTCCTCCTCCTCCGGCTGAGGGAGTGTGTGGTCTGAGTCACTCTACCTGGAAGAAGACTCCTAAGGTGGAAAGAAGCAAGGAAAGCAGAGGTTTGCTGATGTCCAGCTGTGGCCATGACTCCCTGAGAATTAAACTGTGATGCGGGCAGCAGCGGCTTGTTACTAAATTTAGCTGTGACCCGTGACACACGTAAAGCACACTGGTGTGTGCGACAGTACGAAAAAGGGCGGGGGAAGAGAGTTTCCATAAATAAGGACCAAAAAAGTTGCACTTTTAAAAAACATTTTCTAAGCCGGGCGTGGTGGCTCACGCCTGTAATTCCAGCACTTGGGAGGCCGAGGCAGGAGGATCGTTGTGGGTTCGAGACCAACCTGGGCTACAAAAGTGAGCTCAAGGCCAGCCCGAACTGCATAGCGAGACCCTGGCTCAAAACAAACAAACAAACAAAAACATTTTCTATACCTTTAGTAATCCTTTCAGATACCGAAATCTGAAAGATTTAAAGAGAAAATTCTAGAATTAAGACTTTGCTCCTTTCAGGGTACCTGAGTGTAGTTCTAGTTTTGATATGAACTGACAGTAACATAGTCAGTATATTACTTTAAATCAAAACATTTGAGGAAAATATGAAATATGTACTTTCTTATGTGTTGTATGATACGAATTCCAGGTAGCTTTGTTTGATAATTTGGTAATAAGAGGCATTTGCTGAGTTATTTGTAGGTGGGCAAGACAGCTGCTCCTATTAGCTGAGCTCTACGTGAGACCAACAATAAGACACGGCATTGCTCTGTTTCTTGTTTGCTGAGTCTTTTAAGCGGTCTTTCCTTTCGCAACAAGACAAACACTAAAAAACTGCTAACAGATTTTCAGAGTGTTGGTTTATAAATATCTTATTGGACAACTGAAGTCAATGACCACGTTCCCACTGCCTTCTACCTTACAAGTACCAGATCCAGAAGAAGGATATGGCTACCCCCAAATTTCCATGGTTCTGAATTTTGTAGTTTAGCTCGTTTTTCGAAGTGAATATGCAGGACTGGGGATGTAGAGACACGAGGAAGGGCCTTGGTTTGATCCCTAATATCACGACTAAATAAATATGTCACATAGAGTACATTGTTTGTACAAATCAATGTTTAATGTGTGAATATTTAAACAGAATGCAATTGTAGGAAGCAAAACTGGAAAGTTTTCTCCCATCAACATCACAGTGATACTCTAAACTCTGCTTTGTTTCGCTGTGGACATTTTTCTGCACCACTTCTGTGGCTATAAGGAGTATAATCTACTTCTATAAATCAGGCAAACATGCTGGTATATCAAGTCCTGAAAGAGTCTGGAAAGGGGAATAGGCTGAGAAATCACAAGCACAAGGCAGCGATGGGGGTAGCAATATTCAGGGTTGGTCGGATCATCCCGTTGCAGTCTAGAGTTTTTTATTCATGCACAGGGTTCGAGGATGGAATCTCAGCCAAGAGATCTTCCCACAAGTCTGCTGGAGTCAAGGGAGAAGATGCCCAACGTTGGCCATGACCCACTGCGTAACATCCGGGTTTCACAGGACATGATCCAATAGAAGAATCCTCTCACTGCAATGATCAGCCGTGTTTTGGCCAAGAAATCAGACAGCATTTTTGGGACAAATGCACTTGAAAGAGCTTTCGCTTTCTTACTTAGGGATGCAGATATCTCCCCTGGCTCCAGGGCAGAGTGGAGACCATAACCTTCCACACTTGCCTGGTCATGTAAGGCTGCCCCCAGGCCCAGGCCCACTCCTGTGTCTGATAAGCCTCCATCTGCAGCTCATTCCTCACCATATTAGGAGAAAGCCAGGCTGGCCTTCCCCAGTGCCTATACCAAACAATAGTAGGAAAGAGGTACACGGGAAACAGATCGCAATACCATGTTACACCACAGCTCTTCCCAGGAAAACACTGTTGGGGTGAAAAGGAGATCGTGAGTGTATGGAACTGCCACCCATTTGAAGCGGCACTCAAAGAACAGCCAGGAAGGGTTTCAGCATCAGATTCTCTTCCCTGTCTTTTTAGTGCTAACTCTCGGTATGTTTTAATGGTTACCAGAAACTCACAACTCATGGCTCCCAATATTGTATTAATATTTTACAATTTTACAACTTTACAACTTCCCACCTATGTACACACCTTATGGAGTGCAATCCTCCCTTTACCCTCTGTGTATTTTATGTTCTTTCTTCACACGTTTACATTTCCCAATGGACATCATTGCTGGTTCAGAGAATCAATTTTGGAGACTCCCATCCACGCTGTCCACGCTCCTCACCTTTGCTTGCACATCTGTGATCCACGGCAGGTCAGTTCAGCTTGGCGAGCTCCCGTTAGCATTTCCTGTCTGACTTCTTAGACCACATCCATCAGCGATAAATTCCCTCAGCTTTCTTTCCAGATTATGTTTCTAATTTATTTTAATCTTGAACAATATTTTTTC